TTCAGGCATGGCAGCTTCAAGTGAGCAACGCGCAAGCCATACGTCGTCTGTAGGGATGCACAAGTCAACAAACAACAATAACAACAACTCCAAAATCAGCATTCCGCCTCACGGATAGTATCCCAGTCGGGACTCACGTCCTGTCTCTGTCCTAACTCAACAGTTCACATTCAAATGTGTACCAACACACACCTACATATACACACAGGTACACATTTCTACTAAACCTGACCAACCAGAAGTGCTGGTCCCAACGTCCCGATCCACCAAGAGCTACCCTTCACCGTGTCGCCGCCTGCAACCCTACCCACCTGACAAGATCCGACCCAGATCGATTGAGGCAGACAATTCACGACCTTCGAGTAGACAATTGTGTCGTCATGCCCACCAGTCGGTTGGAGCAGACTGTCTGTCGGGCTGTTCGGGTAGCTCAGGCGACACAACTTATCTGCCAACCATCCTCAACGAGATGGCGCCTCCAAGCTCTATCCGTATCAGCACAAACACACATGCATGGGAATGACAATCTCATGGTTTGACTGTGGGCTAGAATAGTGGAACTTGTTTGTGTGTCTTTACAAATATATACACATTTGTATGCATTCGAATGCATATTTGTCTGTGTATACGTTGTCTTAAAATGGACATTTTGTTTGTCTCCAAGATGCAGGATTGTGTATATACGCCCAGGTAACCTCACCACCTGTGCAGATGGGCTAAGAAAAGACCATTTCGACTCATTCCCGAGGCATGGGAGGCTGCGGGTGTCAGGGCCGGCCGAGCCCCAGAAGGCCCGGCTCTTTTGTCGGCGAAGCCCGAGACCCATTGTCTCTTAAGCCCAGACGCCTCGTCGGCCATCGAGTAAATTGATATGTATGAGGATATTTGGTGGCTGCCTCTTTCGGCTCAATCAGTGCTGCCGGTGATCGTGACCCTGCTGCTTCACCAGACTCGAGTTGCCCAAGCGAGCCAATCAGATATTAGATTTTGGCAATAGCAACGCTGAAACGTCGGCGTGGCAACGAGGGGAGGGAGTAGCGACGACAGGATAGCAGCGTCAGGCAGCCAGAAACCGAAAAACGGTGAGGACGACATTACCTCGTAGAGTGGCATGCAATGCAAGTAGGCAAACAGACAAACGGACAAGCAAACAGGATAGACAGAGGTTCAGCGAAATACTCGCATAAATGCATATATTCAAGTACATACAAACGGAAAGAGGGACAAAACTTGGAAGAAACGGGCGAAATACGGCAGACTATGGCGAGACTGATAGAAATGTTGAACAACATAAAGTAGCTTGACGGTAGAAATGAAGACGAAGATGTTGGGTCCTCTAGCTTGGTCGCAGCCCATTCTTCGTTGTATACAATAGGTTTAGCCTCCTTTCGCGACTTAGCTTAAGGCTGTCCATCCGAACTTCTCTGTCATGGTGATTGGAGTAAGTCCATGCGTCGTAGCGTGAATTTGGTGCTTTCCCAGACGTTTCGCCAGCATCGTAGACTTGTCGTTTAGGCAAACTGTAGCTTAGTGCTGAGCATTACCAAATTCACTAAAGATGCCGACTATGATGCCGGCGAAACATCTGGAAATGTTCCAAATCCATGGTACAACGTTGAAAATTATCTTAACTACTATCGTAGACGACTTCGGACAAGGTGGTTTATTTCGGGTCGCTTTAACAGCGTAACAAAGTTACAAAACTA